TAATTTAAGTAACAAGTTGTAAAATGACAGTTTAAGAAATAGGTTCTTAAGCATTTTATAATTCCGTTACCTGGACAATTTCAAAATAGTTTCTTTAAATTTCGCGGATGGAATCCCACCAACGCAACAAAAAACTATCGCACCCCTTTGATTTTTCTTTTAATTTTATTCCGTACTCCAACACTGCGTGTGAAACAGACCAAACACAGCGCCGCGTGTGAAACAGACCAAACATAGCGCCGCGTTTGCATCTGTCTGTCTACTCTTTCTCATCATTTTAGCGTTAACTTTAAGGTTGACCTGTATGAGTTGTCATTCGACCTCGGTTGACAGTTCTCTGTTGGCCAGTCACCGTTTTAAAGCATATACCACATTATGTAAGCACGATAAAAGTTTCTTTGATACTTTTGTGGTGACATGTATACCCTGTATACTAATATTGTCCGTCACCTAAATTATCAACTAACCAGTGTCAGGTTTCTGAATTCTAAACCAAAACCGCTTCGGGACTGAAACAGATTATGCCACGTTGTTTTTTTTTTTTTAATTGTAGAGAACGAGTATGCATGACCACTGTATACACTAAAGGAAATTTTCCATTTCGGCACCAGCTTAGGAACACAAGACAGCTTAATTTTACGTTTGTGCAGAATATCAGTACAGTTCTTAAAAAAGAATAAACTTTTGATACACTAGCCGAAGCTAAGTGCTAATATAAAGCTGTACACACGTAAGAGACACGGCACAGCCATCCGATGCGCCATTTCATCTCATCTCATCTCATCTCATCTCATCTCATCTCATCTCAGAACACACTCATTTCAGAGTCACCAGTTAAGTTAACTGGCCAACAGGTCTTCGTGCTGTGGCAGAATCCCACGTATAAATGCTGGTGGTGTAAGGCTAGCACCGCTTAGCCCACAATATGTGCTCGAAAAAAATACCACTTTTACTTATTGTAAAAACAAAATAAAGCTAATTTCTTTACGGTTATTTACGTCGCTTGCGTCTTTGCAGGTTGAATTAAAACACAGAAACAAAGTGCGCTAAAACGCTAAAGAAAACCAAATCATGCTGGGAGTGACTGCAGTCAGCGGGGACCGCAAAACTGACTCCTAAAAGTGATGAATCAGCGTTTATTTTACTTGGAAACATGACGTTCTACATATGGCGAATGCCCATCTGTGCTAAGAAATGTGACTATGGCATAACAGTGTCTGAATTACTGTTTACATTATAGCTTCTTAAAACCTTAAAAATAAGCTATTTACTACGTTTCTTCATTGTAAAATAAAAAGCACAGCCTCTGCCTCTTCTGGGTTGAATGATTAAAAAAGAACGTCCGTAATTGCGAATGAGTAAATTGGCAGAGCGCACCGTTACTGAGAAGTGTATGTCGACAGGAAGACACGGGCATTGTGCTTCATTAATCTAGGAGGGGGTATAAGTTATTCACGTACGACGGATTAAACTTTGATCGAAATTATGCACTTAAGATTTGTGTCTGTGTGTTGAAGTTTCGGGTTTCTGAGGTAAGTGGTGTTGCGGTTGCGCTGACCTCAGACGTACCGTTGGGTATTAAAATGAGTGCTGTGACTTGGATAGTGGCCACGATTATGATGCCGGGAGGGTTCATCCCAGCTCCCTGCCTTTTGTCAAAGTCTGGTTTATCTTTTTAAATGCTAAAACAGGAGCGCTGCCTGGGTGTGACCTTCTGGCGGCAGTGACTGCAGTTATGTAACAGGCGTCAGCCTCGCTTCCAGTGTCTCGCCGAGCACCACCATCTAGAGCTAGAACTATTATGACTTTTTCCGTGTACGCTTCTATTTATTTATTTATTTATTTGGTAACGTTTTACATTAACTGTATTTAGTAAAGCCTTTATAATGCATTCGTACAAAACTCATACACAGCCTGGCTGTACACCTAAATATCCTAACATACATTAACAGTCTTAATATGCATTAATAACAAACATTATACGATTATAATGTTTGTTATTGTCATATAACATTTGTTATTAATGTAGACATATATTACAGCTGTATAGTAGGCTATGTTAGGATGTTATGGTATACTTACATGCTGCTTAAGAATGTTCTATGCATGCATTATGAAGGTGCACTGAATGTTCTATGAATGCACAATGAATAGGCCTACATTATGTAGATGCAATTAATGTAAAGCGCTACCATTTTTTTGATTAATTATTTGCTTAGTCGTTTTACATCTGTGGAAATGTCGCGGTTGTGGAGAGGTGCATCGATTAAGGTCTGCTATAGCCGTGCTTTATTGAGAACAACAGCACTGCGTCACGCAGTTATTTACTGTCGAATAATTCGGGAAATTTTGAGTGACAGGATCTGAATGTGCGCATTTTTTACAAGAGCTTGTAAATTAAGCGCCCTGTCAATTTTTGGAGATGCGCAGGACAAGCCATCTCGATCCATTTGGTTTTAATAGAAATCGTCTAATTTCTAAATGAAAACACGAAAAATTGTAGGATACCTGGCGTTGTGTTTATGGGAGAGGTGAGCACGCCAAGAGGTGTGGTGAGTTCAGCTTGTCATACGTAAGATTTATGGGAACTTAAAGTGCTCCGGAGTCAGTGCTCGCTACTGTATAAATAACCTAAGTTTATTCTTACTAAAATACAGGTATTTACCCACGGCTCATCACCATAGGTAGAGACAGTGACATAAATCACCCGGTAAACCATGATACACGTTATAGGCTATGTAACACATTTTTAAAGGGTCTGAAGAAATAGGCTCTTAAATAACTAGAATAATAATTAGGCTATATGACCACGGGCTGTTTTTGAAGTTCCAATACGTTTAATAACCAGGAACCCGTAGAAGTATTTAAGGCATCACAGGTGTGTCGCTGTTACGATGCACCGACAGGAGATAAGATCAGACCCAGAGCGGGGACGATTTTTTATTTTTTTATTTTTGCTCGGGCGACAGTCAGCGTCGTGTCTGGCTGACGCAAAGCGCTAGAAATGTCTGCAGCTTTGTTGCTCGCCGGCATATTTCCATTCCTGAATAAGAGTCACTGTCGGACATGGTTGAAGGTTAAATTACAGCGCTTTCATTTTCCCATTATGTCACGAGTGCTGTCTTAAACAGGGGAGTCGAATCGGGACAACATCACTGTAATTGCAATTACATTGCGCCCTTAATTCAATTTGCCTAGTGAAAATTAAATGAGTACTAAACTTCCCCATTAAACTTAATTGCTATCCATTCATTTCCATAAGCCGGGGTGCCACCAGGGGGAATGCCTGATCATAAATTTGGCTCAGTTAATAGCAGACCCAGTCAAGGTGCGCGCCGCTCCCGTTCATTAAAGGGACGAGCTCAGAAGCGCGCGCTGCGGATGAACATACTGATAGAGAAGTTTCCACGTGTTTATGATCTCTCTGAGAACTAAAATAAAGAAATGAAGTCTATTAAAAGAAATCTGAGTCTGCTAGGTCACAGACCTAGGCAGACATGTATCTTTGGCGACAGTTATGGAAAATGAAGAAATAGACTAAGGTCTTGAAATGTTATGTGACGGCATAGTGCGCGTTATACGCATACGTCATACGTTAAATCTCACATAATCAACATTTTTTCACGAAAAATATCCCGCATCCAGTAGTTTGTTGGCAGTTTTCTGCGTACAACCGCTGGTCGAGGTGGACACGGATTATCTTTAGATGAATATTTCAAACGTTTAAACCAAGTAATAAGAGGATGTGGTGGAAAAAAGGCGGGGGGAGGTCATTTCACAGAGGCTTAACGGAAACCTCAGCCCACAGTCACAAAGCACCGAGTAAAGAAACCAAGATGGACGTCGCAGTCTTATCGCGCTGCCCCAATTACTCCCGCGGTGAGATCATTAAGTCAATTAGTTTAAGATCAAACGGCCTCAGGCCACAATGAATCCCTGTGTAGAGGAAAGGCTTCAAAAGCATACCCTGTCCCCCCCTTCAGTTCCCACTTCTCCCCCCAAAATAAAAGCTCAACAGGGCAGCTCAGGTGGGGGTTTGTCCATTAGACACCTTTTAGCTGCAGGCTAAGGTAAGGTTAGCTAATTGTGGCTGGGAACAAAACTCACCCACGGTCAGGATCAGACTTGCTCGAGGACTTAAGACGCTGTGAGTTTAAATGTAGCGCCGGGCTACAGGAGAAGTGGTTTTGAAAAACACACACAAAGAAAATACATGGGAATAGGAGGACGGACGCCAGGCTGAGACTGGACTCGGCAAGGGAGATTAAAAACGGTTTGGCAGGTGGTTCTCCGCAGAGTGACTTGCCTGGCTCTGGGCTCTACTCATTCATACATGGGTGCAACAGCAGGTTCTTGACTGATGCTACGTTTCCCTAAAAAGCTCCAGTTAGTAATTTTCATAGTTAAAACCATTCAGTTGCCTGGTTCCAACTATGTGAGTTGCTAACGTTGTTAGCAAGTTAGTTTTTGGCAAATTTACCCCAGTCTGCGAATTTGGAGCTTCTCAGTTACAACTGGAAAATAAACCCTTCTCCCAATCAAATGAGTTTAAGGCAGATGTTAGAATATCCACAAAGCCTTGTTTGAGAATAAATACATTAGCATAAAAGCAGGAGTGGGACAAGTGAGACTGAGTAACAGGTCTAAAAAAATTTGGACATAATTGGATTGATCTGGGTTGGGGGCTCAGTATTATATACCTTCATGGGGCCCAGAAAATCTAGCAGCCCCCTGGATAATTCATTCCTCTCCTGCGACGTTACATGAAGTGGAGAGGGGGTGTCTGCAAGGTGAAGAATGAATTTTAGCCAGTGTCAGCATCATGGGAGGCATTCATGGTCTATACCCCTCAAAGCAAGACATTGTGCTCCCCCCCCCCCAAATGGCACCCACCAAGTACACCATGTTTTTTTAATTAAATTTTTTTTTTTTTTTAATAAAGATGTTCATCCTAACACAAATAAATGAAAACATCTTGAATATCTAACGTTAAGGCTTCATTTGCTTATCGAGTTTTTCAATGCCAACCCCCCCAGGGCGCTCAGCATTTAATGCCACTGCCTGCCAGTCCCGTTTAATACGAGACCGTCCCACACAGCCGACCCCCACTAACCCCCTGGTCTTTGAAGGGCCCCAGTGTCACATGGTTCTACCGTGTCCATCCTTTGAAGGTTTAGATAAACAAGTGCCGTTTTCAAAGATTCCTGGCAAATACCACAATCTCCCCCACTCCACTCCACTCCACCTGACATGTGTTTTCGGGGGACATCTTCAAAGTATTGGTAAGGTCAGTAGGAGCTCTGTTCTCCCAGGATGACGGCCCCTCCGACCAATCAGAAGACACATCTTCGCAGCGGTGAACACAGGTGCCTTTTCATACCTTTAATCACTGAGTTAAAACATTAAGAATTAGCTGCAGTTAGCCAGAATGATCAAACAATTAAATATTACTGCCTGAATAATAGTGTGTAGATAATGCAATTCACAAAGAACATCAAAATACTACGCAATCCTCAGTATCCACCACTAATAACAAAGGAAACATTAAATCAGCAAAGTACCAACATCAATCAGTGGACTGATATACAAATAACTTTAAAAATAAAGTATGGGTCCTATCTTGGTCACAGGGCAGCAAATTTGAAAGCTTAGGACATCTAAATAATCATCCTGAAAGGCAAGATAGAAAGCATGATAGTTTAGAAATACATACATATAAATACTGTATTCCATGCTAAGCTGTCAATGAAGATATTCAGCTTTGCTGAAAATATTACATATTAATAGTTACTAAGTGTATGGCTGCATAAACACGCTTTAAGCTAAAATCCCAATATAAACACCGATGTTATGCCTCTGAATGTGATCTCCCAGCTACACAAACATCCAGATACCAGGTTGCCAAAAACCTTTGCGGCAGATTAAAGCTTTTTTTTTTTTTTTTTACCAGAGTTCATTTCATTCCCATCCGATTCCTTTACCAAGCAGAGTAGAAGCAAAACAGTGATGAATCAGGCAGGTGAGCAGGGCGTCCTGTAGAGACGCGGCTTTCAACCTCCGCCACAGTCTCAGAGCCTGCTGGAAACCCATCAAAATAACAATGAGAGAAGCGATGCACAGCAAAGCAGAGCCCCCCCCCCCCCCCAAACCTGCTCCAATTAGCACCTGATTTCCTCTTCAATGAGAGACTTAACTGATGTGAGGAGTTTGGGATCCGAGCAGCAGCAGAAAACAATGAGACCTTTCAAAGTTAAGTGCCTATTCAGATGTAAAAAAAAATAAAAAAGGCATAATTATATAGCATTCACACGACACTTAAAGGTCTTTCATCTGAATCACCGAAATGCAAAATAAATAAATAAATAGCTAACGTAAAAGCCAGCCTGTGCTGTTATTTGCTTCACAGTGGTCAACTGGGTCCGCCACACAATCAATCGTGAAGCAGTAGGATAGATGAAAACCTCATCCATTCAGCATCCGCTACTGGGGTTAGAGGTGGTCACCTCCGCTTCCATCCGTCGGCAAACAGGATACAGATGCATTTCGGGGCTTGGTCTGTCAGCCGCGCCGCCATGGCGACGTCACACTCGTGAGGGTGGGGGCTATGCTTTGGCCCTTAGTCTTCCATAACAATGTGCAAACAGGTCCTGTGTCCTGCTGTGTAATAGAAACAGATGTTTTATTTCAACCACAACAAAACCTCTGGAAGCAATGGTACAAGAGATTACTTGATAACGTAGGGACACTTACATAAGTAAATTCTTTTTATTTTGTGAGAGATTAATAAAACAAAATTAAATTTTGGGGGTTACCCCCCCCCCCGATTCTTACATCCCTGTTTGAAAGTGACACCCCACACATTTCATTAACAGCAACGGTGTGACAAACCGCAGGTTTCTGAGTTAGTGTATCTTAATATAGCCACATCCACGTTAGACATGCTTAAAGGGGTTTTGTCACAGAGGCCCAGCCAAACAGCATGGTCAGCCATCCTGAGATCCTTCTTTCAAAAGGATCACAGTGCTACTATGATCAAAAGAATCATATAGAGACTTTTTAAAATTGTAATAGCATCATAACTTTGTAAGTTCAGAAAAGTGCAGAAATAGTAGGCATTCCGCAGCAAACCTGTCAGGGAAGAAAGTCCATTAGGCTTTAATATTTCAAAATAGCTGTACTGACCCAGTACTCCTAAAGGAATCCCACATGAATTTCATCAGTCGAAAAACTGATATAGTTTGATTGTTAAAAATGTCAACAAAACTAAACAGGAACAAAAATCCCTTCGTGACAAATCTGAGACAAAAGGCATGTGCAAATTTTGAATCATTTTTCTAGAAAGCTCCACCTACCAGGCCACGCCCCCTCAATTTCTCTCCTCCCTAAACTCCACCCACAATTACCAGAGACAGCGTTCAGGTCAGTTATCATGGTTCACCAGGCAAGTGGGCACCCTTATAAAATTTTGCAGGTCAGGAAAACTTTGGATGCTCTCAAACAAAATATCACAACTCAGTTTTAACCTCAGTCAAGGTTATTTGTAACCCACTGGCAACACTGTGCAACTTAACAATTATTAATTATAATTAATTGTAATTCTAGGTACAGACTCAGGCCAGAGGTCCCTCAATGCCTCAAGACAGAGTAATTGTACGTAATATGTTAACACTGTAAACCTGATTTATATGTAACTGAATGTATTATTGCCAAATACAAAGAGAACCATACTAGACAAACCTCAAAAATGAGATTTGATGTTGCATAACTGATATCAGTTTGAAATCAAGATTGTCAACAGTGGAGTATGTACAGATAAATCCATGTCTTTGGATGCTTTGGTCTAGTTTGGTCTGTCGTTCATGTACATTTTTTAAGCGGTCACTTTACATGGTGACAGTGCGGTTAGGAATGGGATTTTCTGGAATGTGAGTACAAAGGAGAAATAGTTTGGTCTGAATGTTCTGAACTGAGAACACTTCAAAATGAATGACAAGGGTACAATCTCGGAGAATCCCGCTGACTATAAGTCATGTCACCGCCCGGTCCGCCATCTTTACTAGCCAATGTCGGCTTCCTTAATCAATCAGGCAGCGTTTTTTTTTTAATCTGAATGTTTGACCTTGGTTCCTCATCTGTACATGTGTGATCCTCATCTTGGGATGGGAACAGGACATCTGGCGGGGAAGAAGATCTAGCAGCAGAGAAGGAATAATCATCATTATACTAAATTTGTATTTTTGTGGACAGTTAACAAGCTGAAATATCTGGAACATGTGATATCCTGGCCTTGCAATACACTTTACACCCGCCCTTCAGCAATGGACAGCGTAAGGTTAGCGTTAGCAGCATTAGCATCAGATGCACCCAATGTTGCCCATAGGTTCTTTTTACAGCCACCCCCCCCCCCCCCCCCAGCCCCATACCCCACCCCACTTGTTTGACAGGCAGAAGATAAAGACCAAAAACAGCAGTGATGTAGCCTTGCGGCCAGAGGTGCCTTTACCTGAGTGTGCCATATTGATAATTATCACATGTAATTTGTCTCTCAAAGGCTTCCAAACAGATGTCCACCTTTGGAGTTTCCTTCAGATCAGATAAGAGCGTTTGAAGGGGAGGTCAGGCACAGTTCAAGACTGGGGGGAATCTGCCGTCCTGCTTGCTGAAAGTGTCTCGCACTACCTCTGTGTGTCCTGGACACTGCATGTTCATACCTGTGAATGAACATTAAAACGCAAAATCAGGAGGCTTCTGTTTCATATCTTTCATTCCTTGCATCATACTCCAAGTGATCAGTAATCAAGGTGATACATTCAATTATATAGTGAACTGCCTTATGACTGGACATATAATTGGTCTGTATATTATTGAACACATTTTCTGTGATTGCAGAATGTTCAATGTTCAGTGTTGATTGGGTGTTCCTCATGAGAATTTGTTTCGAGATGTTTCCCAATTTGTTGACCAAACTCTGGATCTGGCACTTCTGCAAATAATGTGTTAAAAATGCAGATTGATAAATGAAATTAATTACAAAACCCAGTGCTGCTGTGCCAGATGCGCATCAAACATGGAGGGTCAAGCACTAACCAGTAAATAACTTGCAGTAAGGACAGTGTGGCAGGTAACCGACATTGCAGTAGGGACGGTGTGGCAGGTACCCGGCATTGCAGTAGGGACGGTGTGGCAGGTACCCGACATTGCAGTAGGGACGGTGTGACAGGTACCCGACATTGCAGTAGGGACGGTGTGACAGGTACACTTCCATTCCCCCAGGGGAAAAGGTCATCACAGCTGGACTTTGAGGGTCTCTGTGAAAGTTTAAAAGAACTGAGCTCAGGAATGGCTTCTCATCATACCAAGTGGCTGCTTGCTTGCACTTAACATAGCAGCTGGTTATTTTACTGGATTGATGAACTTTGCTTAATGTAGCTGAACAGGCCCCACCCCCTCTGGGACTTGAACCTACAACCTGAAGGTCAAAGCTATGCCGGCATGACCGCTGCACCACCTGCTTCCTTCAGTTGTGTGCAAATAAAACCATGCCTGAATGGCCCAAAATCGCACGTGGATTGTTTTCAGTTATGGGAGACACTCAAATCACTTGTTAGCCTTAAAAAACAGTGTCAGGCTCCTGTCTTCTCTCCACAATCACTTCCTTCCATTATACACTATTTTCTGTTATCTGAGGTTCCCTCTAACTGTGCTGAGGACATATGTGCCAATCATTGGAGGAAGATTATGTGGGACAGCCTCTGATTGGCTTCAATCAACAGAGCAGCCCCAGTTTCAGGTCTCCTCTAAACCACTGCTGATTGGTCTGATTGATTGGACAACGTGCCATACTAAATATTGACAAAGAGTTCTGCCAAAATGAGAGCTGACCGTGGAGGAGCTTACGGGAATACCTACTTCAGAGCCATTTAGGGCGTTTGATTCACTGAGACCGAGGTAACAAGTTTCATAAAATTCAGTTAATGCAACGTCCAAATAGATTTTTATAAATCATTGAATCCATTTTATTTCAATGAGCCTGTAAACCTTGAATGATCTTGAATGATCAGCATCTTAAATACAGGTTAGCGTCAGCTGGTTGGTTAATTCTGCAAAACAAAAAAGCCTCTTTAATATTGCAGTCACAAAAAATCTCAAGTATTGTTACAAACCACTTTCATTATTCTAAAATGTGCTCGTGTTTATAGCTACACATGCAATTTGAAAAGCTAGTCGACGAGACACACTTTCCCGACCATTATGTCTGAGACTTGCCCCCCCCATAATGAAAAGGCACCAGAGGGACATGAAACCAGGAAATAAACAGGGGCCTTAATGTGCTGGTTTGTCTAACTGGGGCTTTGAAGACAACGCTGATGGGGGGGGTCACGTAGTTCCCAGAAACACAGGAAGGTCGATTTACAAGGCCCTAAGTGGTAGGTAGCTTACATCATAAACATCACCAGAGATAAAAAAAAAAAGATGAAAAGATGAAGAGGAACCTGTTGCTAAGTGGCCCGCAAGATTTGACTTGCCCAGCAGGGCTTAGAAAGGAACATTTCTGACGCCAGTTCCTCCTCTGTCTGTCTGCATGCAAACTCATACTTTAGTCTCTAGCCAAGGGCTAGTGGAGCTTATTGGTGCACTGAGGCTTTCGCATCTGATGGTACGGCATACAAAATTATTGGTGACGAGCTGCTTTCTCATCTCGTGTGGCACGGTCATGCAACGTGCCGTTTTCCGGGGCTTGACAGACAAACCCGCTGTCTGCGCTTTTCGCTTTGTGCGGCGCATCGTCCGGATCGGTGAGGGATGAACACCTGTTAGGGTTCCGGGGTCCCATTGAAGGCTTGACTCATCGTCGATGACGTGGCCGGCCGTTGCAGGGCTTTGCACGATAGCACGTAGCAAGCTGCTGTGCTATCAATCCCCAGGGAGTTCCAATTTGAAGAGTTCATTTCAACTCTGATAAAAAAAAAAAAACATCCAGTGATATTATAACACAGAGGTGTGTTAATTAATTGCTCCCACGGGGGGAAAAAAAGATAATTATTGAAGCTCTATTACAGCAAACGTTCTGGCTTATTATTCACAGCTAATTTATGTACAAAATTATTAATGTAGTAAAGTTAATTACAGGAGGAGAAAGATCCTTTCATCACTGAGAATGGAAGTAGTGAATTCAGTAAGATTAAAATGAACAATTAAACGTCATGAATAAATTTGAGGATTTTAACCATACAAATTAAGAAAACATGCATACTTTTAAAATGACCTTATTGGACATAAGGTTGCTCTCTGAATGTCAGTGCGTATGATGAGCAGGGTGATTTACATTGAATACAACAAATGACTCAGCGTGACCTTTTGGAGGCAAATTTCGAAATCCAGTGGCGTCAAATAGTCACCCTGACTGGCTGAGAGAAGGGCCCGTGGAAGCACATTCATACAGAGCAGATAACCGGTAGGACAAGTAGACCGCATTTGGCTCTGGACTGAGAGCAGGACAGAGAACAGACGATCCAGCATTCTGCTATTATTAAATCCGAACCGGAGTTGGTACTCCCCTTCAAACAGAACCATTTTGCATTTTCAAGCTTGATTTGCACATAAGATTAATGTATAATGAGCTAAACCATTTATAACTTAAGAAAATTGTAAAATAAACCACTGGCTTTTTTATGGAGGGAAAAAGCAGGAGGTTGGTGTCAGTCTGGGGTTTTGGGGAGACCCCCTCAGTCAGGGGGGTCTCTGAAGGCCAACACCAGGCAGACGCTCCCTGCAGCTGCTCAGGAGCCTGTCTGCAGACAGATGATCATAGGAAAAGGCGGCTGAGTGAATTAGCCCCACTCCCCACCCCAAATGCCTCATTCCACACTTCAAATGCGGTCGCACAGTAAATCAGGTGGCTTTTATGGCAGAGGTCTGACCTCTCCTTTCCCACCCGCTCCTTGGTCTGTGCAGGTTCACCCACTTTGTGTATGTGTGTGTGTGTGTGCGCGTGTGTTTGTGTTTGTGTGTATGTGTGGGCGTGCGCACATCTGCGCATGTGCGATTTTGTAATTACTACATTGTGGGGACCGGATTTCCTCACAATGTGATAAAGACCTGTAACTTTTTACCTTGTGGGGACATTTTTTCCATCCACACAAGGATAACCTCAATTTTATATATAAAAAAAAAGATCTGTGACTGCAATCAAAAAACTAAAAATGCCAAAAGTGTTTCGTTTGGTTTCTTATGGTTAAGCTTAGGGCTGGGTATGGGGCAAGGCTGTCGTTGTTGGGATTAGGGTTTTTCCCCATGGGAATTAATGGACGAACCCCACAAAGTGCGCAGTGGAGGTTTACCCAGGTACAGCCCAGCGTACTTGGCCTGTCAAAGCACTTGACCTGCGCATTCAAGGTGACCAAGGGGCAACATTATCAGCAGGAGATTAAACACGGGGACATCTGCGTGGGGTTAGAAGGACACTGTCAGCGTGCTGGATTCACCCATTTATGTCTGACAATACGGGCTATAGCCATACTGTGGAACTTCCAATTGAATTGCGACTTTCACGTATAAAAAGTAAATATGTTAAAAAGATTATCGAGAAAGGAACTTTCTCTTACATTGTCAAGTGGACTTTGAAGCCCACTCTTGAAGATCTGTTCATTAAATTGTTTGTACTTCTAACCTCCTGAGACCTCACCCATTAATCTATGTCCATTGTAGTGGACATTTTGTTTTTGCATCTGTCTTTTCACTGATGTAAGGAAACATATTTATTCTTGTTGGACACTAAAGAGGACATGCTGTGAAATTAAAAAATAAAAATCAATTTGAAAAAATCTAAATTGTAAGATGTCTTATTTCCTCCAAAGACATAGAAAATCACAAATAACCTAAAATTGAAGGACACTTTTTTTTCCTTGGGTCTCAGGAGGCCAAAGGACATACGGGACAAAAATCCAATATTTGGGGATAACCCAGGTCCAGGTGTCCCTATATGAGTCCCGTCAGGTACAAGTTCTGTTTTGGACACGATGCCAGCTGGCAGGTTGGAGCTTCTCAAACTATACCAATGGGAGATGTTCTCTGAATCAATTAGGTGGCATTAAAGCAGAAGAAAAAAATACGATAAAGTTAATATTCCTCCAAGACATTTGTTTTGACAGGAAAGATCCTGTCAAACACATCTGACATATTGCTTTCGCTAAACGGCTGTGCCTGTGAGATTCACAGGGATCAATTAACGCAGTCGTCATTAACACCACGGTGCCGCGTGGATCCCGATTAGCACAGTGTCGCGTGAATGTACCTTGCTAAAGTCTTTGATTGAATCAATTGAAAACGTAAAGATCTCCACGTCGTTTTTATATGAAATTAGACACAAGAATCGACTGAGTGAGTCTCCACTAATTGCCGGTAACAGCCAGACTCGGAGCAGCTTATGCGCCCGATTCCGCTGCATGCTCTGAAGGCGCAAATCAATGCGGCATACTTTTACAACAATTAAGGGAAAAGTTCTGAACCTGTGACACCACTGTGCATCTTTCCCAGGAAGGAGACTTTATACACATCGGCCTATTATAACGCAAACAAACGTAAAATTGATAGGGACATCTTACACTTCAAGCAAATAGTTAAGTAAGAGAGTCCGCCAACTGTGATGCGACAGTTTGCGTTTGTGAGTGTAATCTAAACGTGGAGGTGATTTCTTTTTTTTTTTTTTTACCCAACTCTGGCATGTAACACAAATTAAAAAACACCTCCAGTCGGTAAAAGAGCCATTCGTAAAGGTGGAGGAATGGGGAAACGGTGATGACAGGTCGCGCCAGTGAAAAATCTGCGTTGACCCGGCGGCCCTCTCACTCATCCATCTCCAGCCACTGGCCACCGATGACTCGGCGCTCCCCTGATTTATGGCAGGAAAAATGTCACAGTGGAATGGGCTTTTGATGAAATTGTTCAGGGGATCCTGTGTAATAAATCCTGATCTTTATATCCAGGTCGCGGGCTACTTTTATATTCTTGCGCCATCAATAAGACGCGGGGATCACGACAACAAATCCATTCGCTTTACAATTTTACAATGTTGCCGGCGGTTTGGGGCTAAGCGCTAACGTTTTTATTTAACGGGGGGAAGACAGAGTGGCTTTTCATCGGGTCAGATGCATGCCTAAAATCACTCGACTCTAACCCGGCACGAAAATAAGTCACTTGGCATTTATACCTTGGCATCCACCAAGCTCAACACGAATTGGCAGGGAAATATTTCTCTGTGGGACTTCCCCGGCGCGGTTTTCCACTCGGACGGGGGTCGTCCAGCTGAGTGCCCGGCTCGATTTCGCGGGGAAGTAATACCTCCTTCCATAACCCCCCCCACTGCGCATTTCTGATTGCGTGCAAAATAATTCACATAGATTAAACCATACTGGGGACAACTGTTTAAAATAAACATTAGTATAGTTTAAAATGGAAGCATCACAATATCAGAGTTGAGAAGAAATAATATCGCCCCAAACAGTGTATGCCTAAGTCTTTATAATTATCACATTGTTAAGTTTTAAATCTAGTTCTCTAGGGAAGTTTGGTCCCAATACCGTACTATTATTAAATCCAGGTACAATTACATTTTATTATTAAAGTCTGCTTTCTAAATTTTATTATTAAAGTCATGCTTTCTGTCTTGGTGTCTGAGCATAGAATAACAAAAGCAGAACGATGATGAGACTCAAACACAGTTTTTTGTTTGTTTGATATTGTGCACATGGACCCGATGGGTGCTGCAGCCCCCTGCTATTAGAACGTGGATTAAATTATAGCAGCGGCGATGATTAACATCTGGATCCTCCAGTCTGACGCGTCACATGACCGACGTGTCTGTGGTATAAGAGGCAGGCGGCTTTCAGCAGTGTGCTGGCGCCACGGTGCTGAGTGATTCAGGAAGCCTCTTCTCCGGCTTCCCAAAAAAAAAAAACTTTACGAGTTCCACAGAACAAAAAACCTGCACAGGTGTTTTTTTCTCCTTCATAAAGGGTTGGACTTGTAAAAACAGGTATATTTCCACAGAGGCGGAGAGCCTTGCACATGACTTTTCTGAAAGCACCAGAAACCTGGCGCGCTCTTCAGCACTGTGAAATGCCAGTGGTGACAGAGATCCCCCCCCCCCTCCCACCCGGACCCCGCAGAAAGTGGGGGGCCTGGTAAATCACACACGAAAGCCTGAGCGGCAAAACACTGACAGCACAGAGAAGCATTTGTCACCAAAATCGGGAGACGCGGCAGAACTAAAAAAAAAAACTGTTTATGTTCAACACAAACGAGGCAGCGACAGATGAAACCGCTTTCATCTGTTAAAAAAGGGATTTCAAAGGACTTTGCGAAAACTGAATCCCATACAAGTCGATGCCCACAAAATACAAAACATGACTCCAACAAAGAAAATATTAAACCTACCATATGCCACATAAGAAAGGCAACCAAATATCAGGGAATGTAACTACAGGACAGATTTCAAGAGAAAAGAAATATTATGAGGCAGAAATGGCTCACTGCTCACCGGCAACCACTGTAGATCCATTCTCACTGCTAGCTGATTCCGATGATTTTTTTCTTTTGCAAAGTAAATATGAGATTAAACAAACATATTCATTGCTGTACAATGCCTCTGGTAGAGAGGTGGGAAATCCCCAGGGTGGGGACGGGATGGGATATTTTGGGCCATCTTCCTCAGGTCTGGCAGCCTTTTAACCCTATATTCCCACACCCTTAACGTTTCATGCTGCCCACAATGCCACATATCCATGTTTTCTGTGCCATCTCACACTAATTGGTTAGCCAGCGTTTTCTATTCAAAGTTTTCTATTACAATTGCTACCCGTTTTAGAGTCGGATATTTTATTCACTGCCCCATCCTGGGTTATTCCCTGCCTTGCGCCCATAACTTCCAGGATAATTTAAGGACCCACACAACCCTG